GCCGGGAAAAGGGTAGACCCCTAGGAAACAAACTTAAAAAAAAAAAAAAAAAAAGTGAAAAATGTGAGCCAAGACGTCAGCAGCCTTAAAATGTGGGGGACACAGGTTCTGCAATTTAAGCCCAGCAAAGTAATAAAAAAGAAATAAACCAAAAATCCAACAAACATCCACAGGGAAGAAAATCAGGATGCAAAGTTTAAAATGTCTAGTTTTCAACAAAAAATTATGTAATACACGAAGAAAAAGAAAAATGTGACCCATACATAAGAAAAGAATTAGTCCACAGAAACTGGTTCTGAGAGGGTTCAAATATACATTAGCACACAGAGATATCAAAGCAGCTATTACAGCATATTTGAAGCATTAAAGAAACATATGAAAACAAAGATTTGACATGTAGGCAATTATAATAAAACAAACTACAAGACAGAATAAATATAAATTCTAAAGGTGAAAAGTACAATAACTAAAATAAAAATTTCACTGAAGGGACTCAAAAACAGATTTAAGATGACATAAATGAATCTGTGAACTTAAACACACAACAATGAAAATTATCCTTATGGGGACCAGCAGTTAGCATAATGGCTATGTCGCTGGACTCCCATGTAGTCAACCATGGTTAAAGTCCTGGTCCCGATGGCTTAAACTCATGCTGGGTGCATGAGCATGCATGCCCAAGATCCCGAGAGGAGAATAGAGGAGAAGGGAATGCAATGTGGCCATCCCCCCTGGGGGTGATTTCTCGCTTTCTGTCTCTCTGTCTTCCTGGTGAGCACACATGCCCTATAGCAAAAACCTCTCAAAAAAAATAGATATATATAGATATATATCTTTATGAAGAACAGAGAGGAAGGGGCCAGGCAATGGCGTGATTGTAACAGGACACTTGGAGATTGGACCCATATGGGAAGGTCCAAAGTTCACATCCTGAAGTTTTCCTGAGCATGCCAGGAGTGCATATGCATACTCATCATCCGGGGCTGGCTGAGAATTGGAATGGACTACATCAGACAACTCTGTTGGGGATGCCTGTTTCTGAGGATGCCAGTCTCTTTTTCTTTAAATTTATTTTAAAAAGCTTTAGGTCCAGGAGGTGGTGTGGTAGATAAGGAGCTTCACTCCCACCCAGCCAACCATGGTGCAAGTCCTGGACTAGGTGGCTTAAAAATCATGCAAGGGGGCTGGCAGGTGGTGTGGTAGTTAAGAGAGCTGGACTTCCACACGCTAATCACAGTTCAAGTCCTAGACCTAGTGGCTTGCTTTCTCAATACGACCCTACACTCTCTCTCACGCTACCCCTCTCTGGTCAAAATTAAAATAAATAAAGTTAAATAATTATTTAAAAAAAAACACACATAAAAGTACATGAGACTGAACTGATGAAACAACATTCTGTGACTTGACTAAAACATTGCTGCTTTTCTTCTAAGCTTTGTTGTCCGGTTTTAAAGGATTTTTGTCCTGTCTTGAGCTGTCAATAGGTTAATGTACCTACTATTTGAACAGAATACTAACTTGTTTCTAGGTTTTAAGTTTCAAGGAAATATCATTACCAGTTCAAAACTGCCTTTCTTGGTACCAGCAGTTAGCGTAATGGCTATGTTGCTGGATTCCCACGTAGTCAACCGTGGTTCATGTCCCAGACCCGGTGGCTTAAAACTCATGCTGGGCGTATGTGTGTGCGTGCCCAAGATCCCGAGAGGAGAATGGAGAAGGGATTGCAGTGTGACCATCCCCCCTGGATGATTTCTCGCTTTCTGTCTCTCTGTCTGTCTGGCGAGCGCATGCGCCGTATAGCAAAAACCTCTCAAAAAAATAAAAAAACCTGCTTTTCTTGAAATTACCAGCTGAACTTGCTACTGAAAGTAGTTAGATTATTTATGATACTGTGTGATCAATAAAATGTTGGGCGAAAAGGAATTGAAGACAACTGTATATAGCAGAGATAGTGTATTAAGAGAGAGGGAAAGGGCAGAGGGTCAAACATGGGGTAAAAACATATATATACATATACATATATATGAAAGTAGAAATGGAATATTATTGATGATAACATGCATGCCTGCCCACAATCCTGAGATGATACTATGGGACTGTGGTGTGGCCATCTCTCCTTGGGGTGGGAGGGTTTGTGTGTGATTTCTCACTTTTCCTGTGTCTCTTTCTTTAGCTATGTGCACAAGCCCTATGGCAAAAACCTAAAGGGGAAAAAAGAAAGAACAAAGAGAAAAAGATAATAAATAAAAACAAATAGATGATCAGAGACCTGAGAGAGAGCATCAGCAAATATATACATAACAATACATAATAAAGTCCCAGAGGAAAGGAGACAGCAAAAAGACAGTAACAACTCACTTTAAAAAAGAAAGAAAGAAAGAAAGAAAGAAAGAAAGAAAGAAAGAAAGAAAGAAAGAAAAAGAAAAGAAAAGAAAAAGGCTGTTAAGTTAAATACTGCTCTTCTTCAGCCTACACTCAGGAATGAGCAGGCATGTTTAGCTTGAGCACCAAGATTGTGAAGCCCAATGGTGAGAAGCAGGACAAGTTCGAGTTGGGCACCTCTTAAGCTCTGCTGGAGCTGGAGATGAACTCAGACCTGAAGGCACAGCTCAGGGAGCTAAACGTTACAGCAGCCAAGGAAACTGAAGTTGGTGGTGGTTGAAAAGCTCTCATAATCTTTGTTCCTGTCCCTCAGCTGAAGTCCTTCCAGAAAATCCAAGTGCGGCTAGTACATTAACTAGAGAAGTTCAGTGGGAAGCACGTGGTCTTTATTGATCAGAGAATTCTGCCTAAGCCAACACAAAAAAGCCATACAAAAAAATAAGCAAAAGCACCCCAGGAAGCACACTCAGGCACATGTTGATGTGCTTGACTGAGCCAATATACAGTGTATTTTGGATGGAAAATTCATTTGTATGCTGTAATGATGTATAGTGAATTAATGTAAATAAATTTAAAGAGAAAAA